GGTGGTGGTCTAGCAGCGGCCCTAACTTGGAAACGGCGACAACCATAACACTGCTTGATCACTTTTTGGTCAGACGCCTGAGCCTCGGCACCCAATAACGCTCTCTGATGCGCGCCATTGTCAAACCGACTCCCCCATGCAAAGTACGATGATTGGCTTCTTCAACGAGTTTCACTGTGTAGGGGTGCATGTCAGGCAGATAGACTGGGTAGTGTCCCTGAACTCGACCTCGACAGGCGAGAATCCCTGCTCATTCTCTTTTAACCCCAGCCTTTGCCGGTCTTCTGTCACTTCATCACCTTGAATCTCTTGAGCGCTTGGTCCAGAACAGATGTTGTTCATTAATCTCGTAGGTTGTCAGCGGACCCGCCATTCTTTCTTGTTTCTTTAGGCGTGAATTTCGCATGAATCTCATGCCCAGGCGACAATTCTTAACGTCTTTATCAGGCTAAACTTTCCCAGTAGATCATCAAGGCAGTCAGTTGATGCAGTGGCTCCATTAAAAAGTTCTTTGGTAACTTTAGCCTCTGTTTGGCTCTCAGGAGTAGCGCTTTTGTCACGATGTCTGTAGGCCACCTGTCTTTGTCTGAAAGCCACTCCGGTCCTTGCCACCACAGCTTGCTGTCATCGACTTGCCCTCCTCGACTTCCCAGTTCTGCGGATTTTCCTTGGTGGGCACATGGCGCCAATAGATCTCTGAATGCCCTTGTATTTTCATCACTCTATTTGCTACGAACTGTTTGTACTCGCCACCACCCTTTATCCAATGGAGAGCCACTGAGCTGTCCAGCCATCCATAGCACTGTTTCACGGGAAACCCTGGAGCGCTCTTCCTACATTTGTGATAAGATTTGCTGCCATATGCGCCGACACCAGCTCTAATCGCGGAATGGTGAGCCCCTGCTTCGCTAGTCGAGCTTTTGCAGTAACCAATCCCTGGCTCACACCCGATGGCTGTCTCACAACTGCATGCACTGTTGCACACACTCCGTTCTTACTTGCATCCCGAAGGCGTGAAGCTCGATTTCTTCAATCTGCTCTTGCGACACGTTAAGGCCCTTGCTACCATGACCTCGGCTGGTAACTCCTTCTTCCATCGTGTCCACCGATTTGCTAGCTGTGGGGGTAGCGGCGCATCCCAGGCCACTTTCACGTTGCATACATCTCTGTAGATGAACTTTCCCTTGATAGTTAAAGGCGCCGCAAGACCAAGGGGATCGTAGATTTTTGCTAGATTACGCAACAATGCTCTTTTTGGACGCGACTACCTCATTTTGAGGCAAAACGACACTGATCTGGTCTTCCTGTTTGTCCCACGGGAGTCCAAGCAAACCACCGGTCTTTGCTTTTGATTGGCCGAGCTGCTGTTTGGCAAACGTGCCCTCATCTTCGACTCTTCTTTCACTCCCTTCTAACTCGGCAACATTCGAAAGTGCCACTTGTGCAGTGTGAATTTAGCGTCCGCGAAGATTTTAATAGCTCCCTCTTTCAGCTGTTGCGCCGGGTACTGTTGGTTTCCCGCTGATCAGATCGTCTACATACAGGCTTTTGCGCAGTTCAGCAACAAGTTGTGGCATGTGAGTTTCCCAGGTTTCAAGATGACACTCTATCACTCCCCGAGGAGAAAGGAGAAGGCACAAGACCAAACAGCGCTCGAGTAAATCTCAACACTTCTACTTCAGAATGTTCGCTGGTCTTCCAATGAAACCTGAGTGCATCTCTCTCTTCCTCCTTGATGCGCACCTGGAGAAAGGCCTGTTGCAGGTCCCCAGTGATAAGGACTGGATGAAAACGCATGCGTACTAAAACACTCCACAGGTGATTTTGAAGCGGCGGCCCGGCATACAGACAATCATTTAAGCTTGGAACTTGGGGTTTCGCACTAGATGAGGCGTCATAAACGATCCTCAACTTTGTAGTTTCAGCTCCCATACGAATCACCGGCTTGTGGGGAATGTAGAATTCTTTTCCCTGCGGCGGATCACTTGCAACTTCTACTATTCCCTCGGACTTCTGTTTTCTGATGATCTCTGCATAAGTCTCGGTCACATCCAAGCGTCGAAGTCTGTTGTGGAGGTTGCTGAGCCTTCGCAAACTGACTTCTTTATTGTTCGGTAAAGGCGGGTGGTTACCTTTCCATGGCAGCGAGGCTTCATACCAGCCTTCGGGATGCCGTACCAATTGCTCTCGGAACTCTGCGTAGACTGCGCGCTGATCATGTTCAGGGGTATCTTCAAGCCCTAGAACGTCTAACCGACATAGTTCTGCATAGTCCACGTGACTCGTTTGGGTCAGCAGCATATTCCCGTGGTCAATCTCAGTTCCCGGTGACATAATAGTCCACCCCAGCTTAGTCTTCTCTGCCACTGGTTCCCCTGGCAGTCCAACGCGCGGCCGTTCGGACGTCATGATCGCTGCATACTCGCTCGCCCCTAATATCAAGATGGCTGGATGCGTTACCACGTTGTCCGTTAATTTTGGCCTCCTGCTCTGCCTGTTTCTTATCTTGAATGGCATAAAACAAAACAAATCATCAACGAAGCCACTAAGCAATAGTAGCAACCTATATTTTGCTTCCCAAGAAGCTTGCAGGATTAAAATTCAATCTTTTCACTCTCTGGCACGGCGTCCAGCAAAACACCAAGCAGTCGGAGCTTTCCAGAAAGGCTTTATTACGTGCAAGCTTATACTTCATGGCTCTCTAGCCTTGGCTCTAATAGCGCTTGCCGGAGATGTTGAACTCAACCCTGGATATAGGAGTTTGGAGGATGTTAGGAGTTCACGAGGATTGAGGCTTGCTCATCTAAATATTCGAAGCTTGAGGAACAAATCAGACTCGCTGCGCCTGGAGGGTTTGGATAACAGAACGATCGATATTCTTACACTCAGTGAGACTTGGCTGGATGACTGCCATGAAGACTCTCATGTTATTATTCCAGGATATAATTGCATTCGCCTGGATAGGTCTGGAGCCAAAGAAGGTTTTGGTGGAGTAGCAATCTATGTAAAGGAAGGCTTGCCGTTTTGTGTTAGGAATGATCTTTACTCAGCCGCAAATGAATGTCTATGGATTGAGCTATCGCGCACTAAATGTCGCCCAGTATTGATTTGTTGTGCATATAGAGCCCCGGTTTTGACTTTGCGAACTTTATTTCAAACTTGGAGATATCTATGACGAAAGTTAACCTGGAAAAATGTGATTTCGTGCTTCTTGGCGACCTAAATGCAAATATGCTGCCATTCTCAAGAAAAAAAAAAAACAAGAGCTTAAAAATTTGCAACTTCACACGATCTTACGCAACTCATTACTGAGGCCACCCAGTGACGGAAACCTGTCAATCCTTGCTTGACGTGATTTTAGTGAACAATGATCACCGCATCAATGACTCCGGTGTTGTTCCTGTTTCGCTGAGTGATCACTACCTCGTCTATTGTGTTTTAAAAGCAGGTGTAATTAAGGCACCACCGAAGACAATTGAATACCGCTCTTATAAAAACTTTGATGCGAACACCTTCCTAGCGGACTTGAATAACGTCCCATGGCACATCATTGAAAACGAGGAAGACATCGACGACGCCGTGTTTATTTGGAATCACTTGTTTTCTGAAATAGCTGACCTGCATGCGCCCGTGAAAAGGCGAAGAATACGAGGTGTTCCGCTCCCGTGGTTGAATGATACAATCAGTGAGGTGATGAAGGATCGTGATTTTCACCATTGTAAAGCCGTGAAAACCAATTCTGCTTTTCACTGGGCTCGCTATAGAAAGTTAAGAAATAGGGTCAATCGTGAAGTCAAGGCAGCAAAATCCAAGTATTATTGTGACTTGATTTTAGAGGCTAAAGGGGATTCAGGAAAGATCTGGAAGGCGGTGAATGAGGTGTCTTCGCGCAAGACTAAATCCTCGAGCCCACAATGTATCGTAGTTGATGGTGTTGAACACACCACCCCAGCCTCTATTGCATCCGTGCTCAACTGTTATTTCTCATCCATTGGCAGAAGTCTTGCAAATAAAATATCAGCTGCTGCTATGTTCCCAGTCAGATCGGCCACGATGCTACAGTCTTTCTCGCTTGAGCGAAGTTGATGAGAAAACAGTACTCAAGCATCTGCTTTCTCTAAAGACAAATAAAGCTATTGGCTTGGACAACATCAGTGCGAGACTTTTAAAGTGTGGGCGCGTGCTATTTGTCCCTCGATCACCAAGTTACTGAATCTCTCTATTCGCACTGGCAATTTTCCTGAAATATGGAAATGCTCGAAAGTGGCTGCACTTTTCAAAACTGGAGATAGGAGAGATGCGTCAAATTATCGCCCAATTTCTATTCTGCCAACAATGAGTAAAATTCTGGAAAAAGTCGTTCATTCCCAATTCTATGACTTTCTGAATTCAAATAATCTCCTTTCAAGCAAACAATTTGGCTTCCGTCCCAAACTGTCTACAACATCGGCTCTCACCAGTTTTGCAGATGAGGTCCTATTGCATATGGAGAGTGGAGAACTGTGCGGTGCAGTGTTCCTAGATCTGACCAAGGCATTCGATACCGTTGACCATTCGATCTTGCTATCTAAATTGTCGGCTATCGATGTCTCGCCCAGCACTCTACAGTGGTTCAAGTCTTACCTGAATCATCGTAAACAGCGGACTGCCTGTAGCGATGCTGTGTCTGACCCTCTCCCGATGACCTTTGGGGTGCCACAGGGGAGCATTCTAGGACCGCTTCTCTTCTTGGTTTATATTAATGACCTTCCGTTGGTTATAAAGAATTGCGAAGTGACTTTGTATGCTGATGACACGGTCCTGTACTACTTTGCTAAAGAGCCACACCTGTTAGAAGAGGCACTGAATGATGATCTCTTGAAAGTTGCCCAGTGGTTACATGGAAATAAGTTAACTTTAAATCTTACTAAGACGAAATCCATGATTATAGGCAGTAATAGGAAACTTGTTGGTATTTCCTCTTTCACGTTATCTATTTTTGACACTGATATAAATTCTGT